TATTGAGATTAAAGGCGTGTGTCTCCATGCTGGCTGTATCCTTGAACACACAGAGATCTGCCGAGCTCTGCCTCCCACGTGCTGGGATTAAAGGCATGTGCCACCACCGCCCAGCTTCTGCTATGGCTTGCTATTTGCTCTGACCCCCAGGCAACTTTATTAACATACAAATAAAATCACATTTCAGTACAAATAAAATATCACCATATGGCTCTGCCTCCCGAGTGCTGGGATTAAAGGCGTGCACCACCACCGCCAGCAACTATGAGCTTCTTAAGTAGTTATAGCCTGAACACCTGGCCTTGCTATAGAGCCCAGTCTGGCCTCAGCCTCAGTGTTCTTGCTTTAGTTTTCCACGGATTGGAATTGCTGGCATGTGTCACCATACCTGGACTTGGAAACGTTTTTTTCCATCCTGGGGATAGAACCTAGGGCCTCACACACACATACTGTGGAAGCACTCTGCCTCTGAGCTGTAACCCCAACCCCTTTTAACCTTTTTTTCCTTTAGATATGGTATTGCTAAGTTGCCCAGACTGGCCTAAACTCACTCCATATTAGGCAGGTCTTGAATTTGTGATCCTCTTGCATTAGCTTCCTGTAGCTGGGATCACAGGCCTGACAATTCCATCAAGGACAATATTTATTAAATGATGGATAGAACATGTATTATGTCTTCATGTAAAATTGATCCATAAAAATGGCCTGAAAGGCACAGAATGCATATCGGCATGGCAGCCAAAATGGCAGTGCTTTCTACTCTCATTGCCTAAGTTTCTTTTGCCTTTTCTCTCCCTTCATTTTAAAAATGTTCTTAAATATGAAGAAAGAAAGGAAACAGGTAAAGTTAGAGCCTATTCCACTTATTTTGTAATGATCTGTTTTCCTCAAAGATCTAAGTAGCATTTACCAGTATGAATAAGATTAATTATTATAATACAAGCCAATTTGAAAATTGGTTTTTAAATTGAGCCATAATATGTAAAATCTTATGGTAATGTGCAGATCTGACTATATTCAAGTGCAGTTTCCATACCCATACCAATTGTCTTGTAATAATCAAGAATGCATCCTCTGTGTGGTGTTTGGAAGTTAATACTGTTTTGGAAATCACACTGGTATGTATAGTGGCTTCCCTGGGTGTATGTGGCCCATTATTGATCATAATTTTATTTTGAAATTTTATTTTAAGTAGATAGGGTAAGCCCCTTTAGATTTTTAGTGGTTAGAAGATGGAGGGTTGGGATGTGTGAATGAGGAGGACTACTAGAGTGAACAACATTGAAAGAGGCTCGGATAATAATTCATCAAGTGGTAGAAAAAATAGCACAGTTCATGTGGAAAACAGAGGAGACAAGTAATTCCTGGGAGAAATGCCTTCAAAACTTAACCATGAAGCTCTCGCAAATACAAATAAATATGTACATTGTAATGAGAAAGAAGAATCCCTGCTCTGTGAAGCAGAGGGCTTTGGTGTGGCTGCATGTGTGAGTACTGCCTCTTCTGACCAGCTGTTTTCCAGGCTTACTCTATTTCTCTCCATCGTTTCCTTTTCTACATTGAAATCCTCCTTTAAATGACACTACTTTTTTACCCATCAGCCTTAAATAAACACTTAATAAATGTACCATGTCCTTAAAGAATAACACAATAGTAAGTCTTAACAATGGTTTCTTTATATTAGGAATCTTTAATGTATAGGGATTTAATGCTGATGGAATGTTGTTAGAATATAAGTTCCATGAAGGAAAGGGTCGTTTGTTTGTTTGTTTGTCTGTTTGATGCCAGCTTGGTAATAACTTTGGCTGTCATGGTATTCACTGTGTAAACTCAAAATGATCATGAACTAGAGGCAATCTTCCTGCCTCAGGCTCTCAAGTTCTGGGATCATTGTTGTGAGCCATCATGCCCCGCTAAGAAAGGAAATTTTTTTAAAGGCTAAGAACATAACTCAGTGGTAGAGTGCTTGTCTAGCATGCATCAAGTCCTGACTCCATCACAAGTAGTATGAAAAAGGGGGAAGGAATTTCTTTTTGTCCATTGTTGTATCTGGTGTCCAGAATAAGAAAGATACTCAATAAATACTTACTGAATAAATTTTTAAAACATTAGCCTTAAGAAAAATTTAATATAACTTACTTATGAAAATTATTTCATCTGGGCGGTGGTGGCGCACGCCTTTAATCCCAGCACTCGGGAGGCAGAGCCAGGTGGATCTTTGTGAGTTTGAGGCCAGTCTGGTCTACAGAGCGAATCCAGGACAGGCACCAAAACTACACTGAGAAACCCTGTCTCGGGGGGAAAAAAAGTTATTTCAGTGAAGCTGTCTTTTGTTTGTAGTTTTTTGAGACAGGGTCTCACTATGTAGCCTTGGCTCACCTGGAGATCAGTATATGAGACAGGCTTGCTGGGAGGAAAGGCGTAATCACTGCTCCTGGCTTCAGTGAAGTGTACTTTTTTTAATTAAAACTTTCTTTGAGATTTTATTTTTATTTTGTGTGTTTGGATGTTTTGCCTGCATACATGTTTGTGCACCATGTGTATGCAGTCCCTGTGGAAGCCAGAAGAGGGCATTAGAGTACGTGTGACTGTAGGTTCTGAGGATTGAACTCCAATCTTCTAGAAGAGCAGCCAGAACTCTTAACTCTCTGCCATCTCTCCTGCCCCAGTAAAGCATTCTTGGTTCCTCAGTGCATGGCAGGGATTCTCAAAGCGACAGAAACTTTACATCCTCCTAACTGTCCCCTTTGTTTTCTTTTCCCAATCTGAGTATTTCAAGTGCCAGGATCAGCTGGACAGGACTGAAATTGATAGTGCCAAGGAGACACAGACTTAAATGGTAGCTGTAGATGGCAGAAGTAAAGAGCACAGGAATTACAAATTTCATCAACGTGTTAGGGCTCAGATAAGCACTGGAGTAGAACACCAAATAGCTAAGGTGCCGGAGCCAGCTAAAAGGTGGAGGTGGTGAGTTGATGGAGGCAGTAGAGAAAATCAAGTTGGCAGTGTGCTTGCTTTCATACAGCCAGCACAGGGAGCCATTGGGAGTGGCATAACATACCACCGAGGACAGCTCTTCGTTTAGCTGCTGTTTGTAAAATGGGTTGTAGCTTGAGCTGAAGTAGTGAATAGAACTGTAGCAGTTCAGGGTGATGTCACTGTTTGGCCTATTGTGTTGTCTAGTGCTGGCCTTTAACAGATACCCTTTGAAGTCCTCCATCCCCACTTGATGATATAGGGATGATGAAGGCAGGAGAAGAGTTCTCGGAAGCAGTAGGTCTGGATTCTAGTCTCTCCTTTCTGTGCTATTTTCTACAATCATGAGTATGAATAGACAAGTACTTTGACCTGTAAGCAGGAGTCTAGATTGGATCATTTTTGGAGCTTAGCACTTGTTTTCCTTATTTGAATTATAGACAGTGTGAGTAGGGAATACTGTATCTTGCATCTCATTGCTAATTTCTACTAATTATTTAAAGAAGTAAAAGAACCAGAGCATTATCTCACAGTCTGTACAATTTTTCTTGTGAATAAATGACTTCTCTATTTTAAAATATGTATTTATTGAGTGTGGTTGGGTATTTAGTATTTTAATTATTATTAAACTATCATAGTGCTCAAGCTAATGGACAGAACTTCATCCTGGGTTACTTTTAGAGAAACATGAAGAATGTAGAGTCCATTCTGCCATGTATAGTGTCTTATATACTAAACAGAGCTCAGGGAGATGATTCAGTCAGTAAAGTGCTTGCCAGGCAAGCAGGAGGACCCGCGCTCCATCTCTAACACTCGTGTTAAACAGACACGCAAACTGAGCATGTGACGTGCTCTTGTAAGGCAGAGACAGGAGGATCCCTGGCCCTTGGTGGTCAGCCAGCCTAATCAGCAAGTCCAAGGTTCTAGTGAGAGACTTCATTTCAGAGAACAAAGTGGATGACTCCTGAGGAGCAACACCTGAGGTTGACCTCTGACCTACACACACACACACACACACACACACACACACACACACACACACACACACACACACACACACACATACATGCACATATACCTGCAAACTACCCGCCCCCAGCCTCAAAGCACAATAATACTAACAGTGTTTAGTATCATTAGAACTGATACCTTTTTTTGCTCACTGAATACACTATTCTCTCCCATCATTTCCTAGCTGAAGGTTTTAGTACCTCAGCTTTCACAGTCCCCACTCTTCTTCCCCTGTTGTTTTGTTTGTGTTTGGACTGTTTCTTGCCCCACCCCCTTTAATCCATCTGGAAAGATGAAGAGGCAGCTGCTATGGTTAACTGTGCATTTTGGCTAATGAATAACAGACTAACAGGATACATAAAGCATATGCAAACTATGTAGTGCTAGTTGCTGTCAGGGCCCTAGGGATACAATGCATTTACTTTTAAAAAAAAATTATCATGTGGTATTTTGTTTTCTAATTTACCATTCTTAATACTGTAATGCTACCACAAAGTTCGCTTTTTTCTGCTTAGGCTGTATAGTATTTCATTTTATGATGAATTTATAAAAGATGGTTAAGGTCCAAAAAGGAAACGAATCAGTCAATTATACTTAAGAAATAAGTTTCCTAGTTCAGGTGTATTTTTAGAAAAATAGGGACAAATTTTATGGCATACTTGGTTTTTGGACCTCTAACTTATTTTCTCTTTCTTGCCTTTTGGCTGCTAGTGCTTCTTTTGAATTTCTCTGGGGTTAGAACCACCATGTACTATGTTTCTTGAAAATGTTTCTACCCTAGCTGGGTGTGGTGGCACTTGGGAGGCAGAGGCAGGCAGAGTGCCTCCTGCTCTACACAGTGAGCTCCAGGCCAGCTAAGCCTACCTTGTGAGACTGCATCTCACCCTCTGCAGCGTTTCTATCATGAAGGCCAGCTACAACTTGAATATTGCATTCGACCAACCTTTGAAGATCCCTGTAACTTGCCACCCTGTCTCCTGCTGTCCCATCTCATAGCTGTCCTCTCTCTGCAGTGCTCCATGCCCAGGTCTCTGTGGCTGGGCTGTTCCAGCCTGGCGGACAGCATGCCTTCGCTGCGATGCCTGTATAACCCAGGGACTGGCGCACTCACAGCTTTCCAGGTACTTTCTCTGTCTCTGTGGGTTGTTGGTGGGGTATGTGTGTCTAATTCATTAGTATGTCCATTCTTCTTTCCTATGATTTACTTACATCCACCTCTTCTCCTTTATGTAGCCTGTATTTCACATCACTCAGTATTTCTTTAATGATTAACTTTTAATGTAGACCTAGACTTAATCCATTTTTAAAAAATCTTTATCATAATTGGTTTGTCAAAATGAACATAGCACAACTTGGTGGTGTGTTTCAGATCTTGTAGAAGCATGATACTAATTTTTAAAACAATCTAAATAGCAATTCTGATTGTACTGTTCACTCTGGACCTTCATAAAGTCAAATCATGTAATTAGGTGATTGAAATTAGATGCACAAACATTTTATGTTTTTCTTATGACTACTGTGTTCATAATGCTTGGGTTACTATGCTACTATCTATATGTGTGTAATGTATCAGAACTATTTGTTGCTTGTATATTAAAGATGGTTTCTAGCTTCAGAGTGGTAAAGCTGTAGATGCATTGTTCATTTTGAGACAGTCCAATTGGTCTTACATGATTGGTGGGCTCTAGCTCCTCTCAGTCTTTCTTAGAGGCTAAGGGGTCAGTTCCATGATGTAAGAGAAGCTATAGAAGAAAAGAATGGAACATTGGAGAGGAAAATGAAAGAACTTGGTGCTCAGAGCTTATGGGTTAGGGTACCATGGATGATTGTTTTCTTGACAGAGGTGTTATCTATTCACTTCAGGTATTTGGAATTAGTGTTTAACATTTTATAATAATATAGAAAATGGTCTTTTTTCCCTTTTAGGTATATTTTAGTTTTATATATGTGTATGTGTATGCAGGTGCCTGAAGAGGCCAGAGGGAGGGTCAGATTCCCCGAAGCTGTTGTGTACAGGCAGTTGTGAGCCACCAGACATGGGTTCTGGGACCCAAACTCAGGTCATCTGGAAAGAGCATTAAACTCTCCAACTCCCCAAATTGGTTTTTTAGTGTGTGTGTGTGTGTGTGTGTGTGTGTGTGTGTGTGTGTGTGTGTGTAGCGGGGGAGTGTTTGAGACAGGACTAGGCTCTGTGGAGTAGACTAGCCTCAAAACTGGAATTATAGGAGTGAGTGAGCCACATGCTCAGCTATTTACCTAGTTGTTTTTAACCTATGCAGTTCAGTATCTGTTCAGAGGAAATTCACAGACAAGCTGTAACTAAATATGAAAGAACCCATGATTAAGTCTTAAGGAAAGAAAGTAAGGACTGACAGTTACCAGTCTTCAGCGATACTGTTTTAGCAATGATCATGCTGGAGACTTTAATTTTCCTTTGTACAGTTTAACATTAATAATCTTCCTTTGCTTATACTCTAAAATAGTAAAGCATGTTGACTCTAAAAATAGGTAAATCTTTTTAAATACATTGTCACTGTCTACATTAGGATTTTTATTACTGTAAAGAGACACTGTGACCACAGCAGTTCTTTTTTTTTTTTTAAAGATTTATTTATTATGTATAGTGTTCTGTCTGTATGTTTGCCTGCACACCAGAAGAGGGCACCAGATTTCATTATAGATGGTTGTGAGCCACCATGTGGTTGCTAGGAATTGAGCTCAGGACCTCTGGAAGAGCAATCAATGCTCTTAACCTCTGAGCCATCTCTCCAGCTATTCTTATAAAGGAAAACATTTTTTTTTCTTCCTCTGAGCCATCTCTCCAGCTATTCTTATAAAGGAAAACATTTTTTTTTTTCTTTCCAGAGCTGAGGACCGAACCCAGGGCCTTGCGCTTGTTAGGCAAGTGCTCTACCACTGAGCTAAATCCCCAACCCAAAGGAAAACATTTAATTGGGGCTAGTTTACAGTTCAGAGGTTTAGTCTATTATCATCCTGGTGGGAAGCATGGCAGCACACAGGCAGATGTAGTACTAGAGAGGTACCCCACAGTTCTACATCTGGATTAGCAGACAGCAGGGAGTGGGGAGGAGAGAGGAGAGCAGAGCAGAGGAGAGGAGGGAGGAGGGAGAGGGACACTGGGCCTGGCTTGAGTATTTGAAACCTCAGAGCCCACCCCCAGTGACATATTTCCTCCAACAAGGCCATGCTTACTAATAGTACCACCCCCTATGGGCCTATGGGGGCCATTTTCATTCAAACCACCAGAGTCACTCACTGTTAGTAAGATCTTGAACAAATTGTTTAACTCTGATGCTCCTTTTCTAAACCTGTTAAGTGGTGACTGTAGACATGAGTGGACACATGGTAATAGTTGTTGCTTTTATCATCATCATCATCATCTACATTGTTTCTTTGTTAGAAGAGTATATATGATAATCTGAGCGTGTCGGTTCATCTCAGGGTGAATTGTGTATTGTTTGTTTTTTTTAACATTGTATCCTGTTGAGGAAGGTACTGACTTTAAGAGGAACTCAGTCTAACTTCTGCTGATTTTGAGTTTTCTGTTTTTGTTTTGTTATTGTTTTGTTTGAGACAAAATACCGCTTTATAACCCAGGCTGGCCTGGAACTTTCGTGCATCCTGCCTTGGCCTTCTAAACCCTGGAATTATAGGTGTGCGTCACCAAGCCCTGCTAACCTATTGGTTTTTAGTTGATTTCATTGAGTTTAATCAGCCTGTAAAGTCTCAAGGAATAGGCTCTCCAAGATTGGCCTCACTTTAGGTACATTTAGGCATTCCACAGTCACTCTTGGGTTTGGTAATTTGCTTGAAAGTATTCAGATAATTTACAGTTTATTAACAGGAGAGGATACAGGTTAAACTTATCCAAAGGAGACATCCAAGGGCCAGAGAGATGGTTCAGTGTGTAAGGATTAGTGACCTGAATTCAATCCTTGGATCCCACAAGGTAGCATGCAGGAGAGAATTACTCCTCCCAGTCCTCAGATGTACACACACAAACACACACACACACACACACACACACACACACACACACACACACACACACACACACACACACATGCATATGCATGCATGCACACACAGAGTCACAAATAATTTATTTCATTTTATATGTATGGGTATTTGCATGTATGTCTGTGTACCACATGCATACAGTGCTTGCAGAGGCCAGAAGAAAGTTACAGATAGTTGTGAGTCATCATGTGAGTACTGGGAATGAAGCCTAGTGCTCTTAACCACTAAGCATCTTTCCAGCCCTAAATAAATAATTTTAAGAAGTACTTAATTCAAAACAAAACAAACAAAAACCCCGAAGAGACATATAGGAAAGGGTCTTGGAGGAGTTGAAATGTAGAATTTTTAATCACCTTCTTTCCATGGAACCATGAATGTTATAGCCTCCCAGCCACAGTGTATGATAATATATACCAACCTCCAAAGTCATGTTTATTGAGATTTATTTGCTTACTGCCCGCATAGCTGGCTTTTAGTCTCCAGCCCATCCCTGTAGGCCACACGGAAGCCTATCACCTCTTGGTGTTAAAACTGATACAGTGTGGCTTCAAGCTCTCAATGTAGATTGTATTTCCAGTATCTAAACTTCCCAGGCAAACAGAGACCCTTTTGTCGGCAAGAGGTCAAGAAGCCTAGAGACCACTTCTTGACAACCAAGGGTAAAGGCCAGATTTCTTTTTGAATAAGGTTAATTCTTCACTACATAGGTGTCATAACCTGTTTTGGGAATGCGATGAGACCTATTTATCTTTGTGTATATAGAAGCCAGTTTTTATTTGATAGTTTTTATATATGTGTGTGTGCATGATTTTTCTATTTATATTCCGTTGTGAAATGAGCATGAAAGCTATGAAGCCACATAATCCCAAAGACATAATCTCCCCAAACTGATTGATTCTATAAAAGATGTGCAGAGATTAATAGACTGTTTAGAAGAGGGACCAGACTAGAGTCAGGGCTAAGTGGTAAGAATACCTGCTTGGTGTGCACAGGACCCTGGATTCTGTCTCTAGCACCATAAATACTACAAAGTAATATTGGTCTAATCAGAGTTGGGGTAAGAAGGATCAGGTAACCTGTGCTGAGGATCTAAACTGAGCAGGAATCATTTAAACAGAGAGACTGACTGAGGACAGGTATGGCTCGGGTGCATTAACACCACCCCCACCCCCACCCCCACCCACAAGACAGAACTATCTCAGAGACGACAGAAGAAATGGAAACTTACTGAGAAAGTCCTAGGGAAGCTACTGATGACCTAATCACTTAGGACTCGAGGGGTCATGGACAAGGTGCTGGAAGGATTTGAGCACAGCTTTGACCCAATTCCATGTGTAGCACTCTGACTGGAGAAGGGTCGTTTCACTAACATTATTCTTGTGTTTTGAGGAAAGGTCTTGTGTAGCCCATGCTGGCCTTGACCTACCAATCCTCATACCTCTTCCTCCCAAGTCTGAGGTTATAGCCCTATGCCACCATACATAGCAGTTTTACTGATTGTGAGGACAGTGTGCACTCTTTAAAAATTATTGAGGGGAGGAGAAAGGAGAAGGAGTGGATCTGGGGGAGAGGGGAGCTTTGGGGAGAGGAACTGGGTGGAGAGGAGGGAGGGGAAACTAGTCGGGATGTAATATATGAAAAAAGAATAAATAAAAAGGAAAAATTTTTTAAGGGACTGTAAACTTATTTTATGCATGTAGCTTACTTCTGTGATACTTATTATTTGAAATGAGAGTAGAAAAATACTGTTAATTTATTTTAAATAATTATAATAAACCTCCAGGATATGGAAGCACACAACTGTAGTTTCAACAGTCTGTAGGTGGAGGCAGGAGGATCCTAAGTTCAAGGTCAGTCTAGCTACACAGCAAGTTTGAAGCCAGCCTGGCCTACATAGATTCCCCCCATAACAACAACACTAACAACAAAAATGTATGTCATGTTAATGAATAGGACTTTTTTTTTTTTCCCCTTCAAGATAGAGTTTCTCTGTGTAGCCTTGGCTGTCCTGGAACTCACTCTGTAAACTAGGCTGATGTCGAACTCACAGAGATCCACTTACCTCTTCCTCTTGAGTGCT